GACTGCATTTGTCCGTCAGCCACGGGTCTATCGCCGCAGTTTACTGCGGTGATGTTGAACGCAGCAATCCCGGTACCAGATCCGGGTGCAAATCAAATGTCCACCGCGTGAACGCAGGAGCCAGGACAGCTGGAAATCCGACCTATGACCCCTCGCCGTGATGTGCTCGGCGACATTGCCACGGTCAAATAATGGCCTTAGACCACATGCGTGCGTGTGTGTGTGTACGGCCCTGTGTGCGAGGAGCGGTTGTGGAGTGGTTCTCGCGCTGCGCTACGAACCCGGCCACCCGAGTTTCGATTCCCACTCATGGCCAACATCGATGACGAATGTCTTGAACCGGTCCTGGGTCTCTCCTAGGTGGACTCGGCCTGAAATGAGCACTTGAGAGGCAAAGGCGGCCGGGCGTGGTGCTGGCCACCCACCCCCATCGTGTGCCGTGTTGTCCTTCGTAGGTGCTACTCGCTGACAGCACTTGCCCCAACAGTCTGTCAACGGCTACCCGGGGGAATTTTACCTTCGCTCGTTTCGGTCAATCCACAGTTGGGATGAGGGCCTAGCGGATCGATACCAGAGCGTGGTGCGGTAATGATTACCGTGTCCCACACGCTGTAATAGTGACTGTTCACACGTACGCAATGTCCGCGGGTTTTTTTTTTAAATCTCTGGCTGGAAAAATCCGACAAGCCGGTGGATGGGGGGGGGCAGAGGTGAATCCACCATAGACCAAGCCAGATCCTACCGTTATTCAATCCCGTTATTGGCCCAACCACGGCTTTTTAATCTCACTTGAATATTTTCCGGAACGCTGCTCGACTGGATGGTATCGGAGTTGGGAGCATCGGCGTAAGGCACTGCCACTAGAGTTCACGGAGCCATAATTTATATTATTAATCATATACAGTGTTATTGTACACCCATATCAATATTATACGCCTATGAACAGGAAACAAGGTGGTGAGATGGCTTGGATGCGGCGAGGACAAAATCATTCCCGGAACGGTGTAGATTAACGGACTATTCCAGTCAAATTTAAGGGCTGCATAATGACCAATGAGCCGGATATGGTGAAGTATAAACCATTTTTTATTTTACAGGTAAGACCCACTGATCTATTTGGCGCTCTTGCAGAAGCGACCTAGCTATCACAAATGATCACAAATGATAGCTCAACGAAGTGGCTTATTACGTGGGAATATGGAGCGGTCAAATAATCTAAACGCGTGACGTTGATTCTAAATGTGGAGCGAAAAAGCGAAGGACCCGGAGAAACATCCACGCGACCACGGGGAGAGAAAGCGAGAGAGACACGCAGACTCCAAATATACAGCAGCAGGCGTCGGGGTGGGGATCGAACCCACGACCTCCTCTATGCCAGGCGAGTTAGTTAACATCTTCTAGCCACTGTGATGATGAGAGAGAGACACGCATACTCCAAATATACAGCAGCAGGCGTCAGGGTCGGGATCGAACCCACGACCTCCTGTACACCAGGCGAGGTAGTTAACATCTCCTAGCCACCGTGACGCCCACGATGGCGAGATGTATGGCTCAACACAGAGAGGATAATGCGAACCAGGAGATCTTTGCCTTACAGATATTTTGGTTAACCGTGCTCGGGGGGAAGGGGGGGGGATCCACGTTTAATGGTAGGTTAATTGACACATTCCTGCAAAGGGAGCTGGTAGGAACGTTGGGTTGCTCGGTCAATGGCCAGGGTCAACGGCGGCACCACGTGGTGTATTCCGCAAATATGCCCGACTGTGAGGGCGGGCACAAGCCGGCGTGAGTAGGTTAAACGTTGCGTTTTATAAGGGCACCACGGGGTGACCAGCCCCTCTCCACCCAGCCCCACCCCTCCCACCTCCCACCCAGTCCCACCCTCCCCATCTAGCCCCTCCCCACCCTCCCCACCCACCCAGCCCCTCCCCACCCTCCCCACCAAGCCCCTCCCCACCCTCCCTCCCCTCCCCACCCAGCCCCACCCTCCCCACCCTCCCCTCCCCACCCAGCCCCTCCCTCCCCAACCAGCCCCTCCCCACCCTCCCCTCTCCACCCAGCCCCACCCATCCCATTTTTGGATGCACGACGGACGGACACAACAATCCCCTGTGGGCTGGTGTAACCAGGAGGTTCCTACCAGTATAATCGCTCAAAGTACAGCCCTGAGCCAAGGCTTGCAATAGCGATAGTGGTAGCGCGCTCGCGGCTCGAATCAATCCGGCAGGCCGCCCTGGTCAATACTGCGGGCGCAGTAACCATGGCGTACTGCGTGCCGTCTGCTTCGCGGTGGACATTACAGATCCCTTGCCGTCGTTCGCGATGAGTCAGCCATTGTGCGGCGTCCCGATCCAACTTCGCCAAGAAGAATGAGTCGCAAATTACGCAATTGGAATTTCACAAATATATAATCGCACCGCTAATAATAATAGTAATAATTTAAATTATTAAATCGCCCTTAAATAATCGTTCTTGGGGTGCTACGCATGAAAAGGTAGAAATAGTTTAACATCAAGCAAAGGAAACAAGAAGTGAGACGTTCGTTTGAAAATAGCTAAAGAGATAGAGAACGCAATTTTGAACAGATGCGTTTTTAGTCGGGATTTGAAGGTTTGTAAAGGGTCTTGGATTAGTCGTGACCTCGATGGGGAACGAGTTCCAGAATTCAGGTGCTGCAATTGCAAAAGCACCGTCACCCCCCCCTGAGTGTGGAGCCGAGAGACCGTGGTGACGGCGAGCAACGCACAATCTGATGATCTTAATGATCTTGGTGGAATATTCGTGGCCGAAGGAGGTCACGGATATAGGGGGAGGAGCAAGTCCGTTTCAGGCCTTGAATACCAGCAAGAGATTATTAAAATCGATACGGAGTACGAACAGGGAGCCAGTGAGGGGACAAGAGAACAGTTGTTTGATGTAGATCCTCAAATGGTGTAGCGGTTAGCACCCTGGCGGACGCATTGTGAACGTACTGCATGCAGCCTGTTGAGCTGAACCCGACTGCTCGCTTGTCCAGTCGCCTTGGTCCCACAGAGGGGTTCCCTTGAAATCAGAAGAGAGATCTTCCTGTGTGTGTGTGTGTGGCGAGCGACCAGTCATCTCAGTCATCTCAGTCAGTCGACCCGTGGCATCTGGGTCTGCCCCGTGACCTCCTGCCAGCGGGCGTTCGACACTTCACGTGGCCTTAAGGTGCACTTAGCCTGGCACAAGCGTCGTGTTGACGTCACCGCCACTTAGTGGCGAATGGCGGTTGTTGTTGTTGTTGGGGAGCGGCGGTGTAGTGGTTAGCGCGTGGCGCTATAAACCCGGCGACTCCGGGATAGATTCTCGCTCACGGCCAACAACGGTGACGATTATCTGAACCGGTTCCGGGCCTCCCCTAGTTCGACTCAGCCTCAAAATAGGTACCTGGTGCGGTGTGTAAATATCGATACTGGGGAGACAAAGGCGGTCGGGCGTGGTGCTGGCCACCCACCCCCTCGTTTACCGTTCCGGCCTTAAGTGCTCGCTAACATCACTTGCACCTACAGTATGTTAAGGCTATACGGGGGATCTTTGTTTTTTTTGTGTAGCTCCTTGTACTTTCCCCCGCACCTCCGATTCGCACGGTTGGCGACGTACGGTGCGAAATAAGTTCAACGTACATACGTCAAGGAATTACCGCAGCGCCGTACAAATTGCAAACATTTAAGCAATCATGCATGCCAGCTGAACACGGCGTAACATACGCCAATCTAGCAGTTCTTAGTTAAACATTCACGCATTTATTTTACCTTAAAAATACATTTTCACGAAAGATTTCTCTCAAGACACAATTGTCAATGTCTAGATTCTCTTCCGACACCACGCTCCGTGGATCAAAGAATCTGACTCTCGACGGAGCGACGTTTAATTGGAAGCCAGCTGAGCTGTTACGGACAAATCCTTGGCCCGATATGCGTCGACTGCAGAGAGAGAGAGAGCGAGAGGACGAACACTAGACTCTGTGCCATGAGAATTGACTCAAAGCAGCGAGTCAGGCGGCTGTCAGACTCGCAGACGAAGTTCGTGCAAATGCAGATTGCGCTGAAGCAGCGTGCGTGCGTGCGCGCGTCGTTCGGGGGGGGGGGGTGGAAGGCAAAGCCTGTGGTGCTCAACTGAATCGGCATCGATCAGCATCGACGCAGCGGCAGCAAGGCATTACAACAAAATTAAATCCCATCACCACCACCGCCGGGGGTGGTATTTTTGACCGCGCGCGCATGTTTTTTTTGTGTGTTTTTAAACAACTCTCCTGGCAACAATATGAATGAATACACTTCTGAACCCACCGCGAAAGGAAATACTGTGGGGGGGGGGGGGGGGGGGGGAGAAAAACGCCAGGCCCCCCCCCCCGCCCTGAAGAATTAGCATTCGCCCCGAAGGGAAGCGCTTTGAATCCTTGCAAACTCTCAAATGCGTTTGCGCATTCGCCCCCAACGGTTTTTCTCATTCAGCGCTGTCAACTTTGGATGCGTGAGACGGCGGCGCCCGTTACGGCCATTGGCACGCGGCGGCGGCGGCTGCGATCCGCGTGCGTGGGCGCGCGCGTGGGCAAAGTGGGGGGCGGGGGGCTGGCACGGCGAGTGGTGGCGGGGTGGTGACGTCGGCTTTGGGGAGTTGGGGGGTGGCGGGGTGGTGGTGGGGGGGGGGCTTTGTTTAACGAAGCCGCACAGACCCCTTGCGAGCGCGGTTAACGGTGAGACACAGCGCGAAGAGGCAAACGGATTCAACAAAACTTAGGAGCGCTTCTTGGAAAATGAGGCAATTAGAAAGTTGCGGGCGGAGGTGGGAGTAAAGGGGGGGAGGAGGGGAGGGGGGGGGCTGGAATTTGCATCAATTTAAAAGCGGCACGAACCGCTTTTGTTGTTGCCATAAAAAAAAATATCACAAACTTATCAAACGCATTTCGTCTAACGCGAGGGAGTGTGGGTGGTGTGGGCGGTGGGGGGGGGGGGGGTATTTAGTAGTGGTGGGGGGGGGGCATGCAGCAGCTTCCCTGAATCGCCACTGGCCCTGGCAAATAAGTCACCACTGCAAAAACACAGCGGGGACGCATTGCTACATCTCGCTTGTTTGAACAGGGAGCCCTCCTCTCAAAGCAAACATCGCAAAGTCCTTCCATCGCAAAGCCACCGAGGTAAAGCAGCGATGGCGACGGGGGCTGCATCGACATCCGAGGCTGCCGCGCGATTGCTGCTGCTGCTGCTGCCGCCACTGCTGCTTCTACTGCCACCGTCCCTCGACGGCTTGTCGATCGTCAGCAGCTGCCCCGGCGTGCACGGCAGCGACAACTACCGCAAGTGCTTCTGCGACGAGGGCGGCAGCTTCGTGTGCGACCTCTTCGACTCGCACGCGTTGCCCAACCGGCTCGCTCGCCTCGCCGCTGACCGATACAACGTGGAACGCGGATCGCCCGCGCGCTCCTACGAACTCCGGGGGGTCATCGCCGCGCAGGAGGTCAGAATCTAATCGGAGGCGGGTTATTACGTTTGATACACCTGGAGGAGGGGGGGGGTGGGGGAGGAACAACTCCGCGTGAGCTGTAAAGATCATTTCTCACAGATGTCCAGTGGGTCAGTCAATCGGTCGCAAGCAAAACGGGACAGAGTTTAGCCGCAAGGTGGCTGTGGATGGCATTGAAAGGGCCACGCCGTGAGGTTCGTAGCTCGAATCGGGCGCGTGCCGCCCCGGTTGCTACCTTGGGCGCTGTGGTAGGTCAGCCACGGAAACGTTGTCCGCTTCGCGTCGAACGCCAGACACCGATCACCCACCACCCCCCACCCCCAGACCCTCTCCCCCGTCCACCTCCGACGAGGTCATTCGGAACGAGTCGGCGGCCACTGCGTCCCGCGTTCTATGGGCCACAGTTGGGCCCCCTTCGCGACGGGAATTGGTGACACCGCAAGTGACTCGGCTGGCATTACAGATATCGGCGATCATCGACTTCTTCCTCACCGACTCCGACCGGCACACCGATGCCCGCTAGGATGGCACGGCCGCCTATTGCTGTTTTTTTCCCCTGGATTTTTCTGTTGCGTGGAGTCACTTTAAGATGTTTTCTTGTTCATGCTTTTGTTTGTTGCGGTTGCACCCGAGTCAAGAGCCGCATGGCTCACAGGGTTATACCTAAAAAAAAAACTGACCGTGCACGCACTGCAGACCCGTGCGCACGCGTTGTTTAGTGCGTGTGCACGTGCTGGCACGTGTACCGTGTAACCGTGTGGGACTCGTGTCGCCAGCGTGCGTAGTCAACCGCGCCAATCGGCGGCGTCGTTTCAGTGTTGCGACTCGGAGCGACGGCGGGGAGGGGGGGGCATCTATTCCGCGTTGTGAGCATTTTCGAAACGTCACGCGACACGAATTGTAAACGCTGTGGGTTTACTCTCCACCACAACACACACACCCGCGTTCTGTACTGGTAACGAATTGGCATGTTTAAAATTTTTGTTATTTACGTGCCACAACCTTGCTAATTCGCCGTGTCGGGTGGTGGCGGGTTTTGACGACGCATTTATATTTACGCGACCTAACCCAACGCGTCCACGGCCTTCCCTTGCGCTCTCCCTCCCCCCAAACAGATCCTGTGCTCCGCGCGAGAAGCCAACGCCATGGACTGTTGCGAGAGGGCCTTTTTTGGAGGGCTCATACCGTGGAAGGCGCAGGTAATGGAGTCGATTTGATGGACGGGGTTAGGTAGAGAAGGCCGGGAGGAGGAGGAAGGCCTTGGCTGGAGGTGTTCCGATTCCTGAGAGGAGAGTAACCGGGGGAGGGATTAATTGTTTTACCAAAGCGGGTAACGGGGACTACAATTCTACCAGCGAAGGGGTAACGGAGAAAGGGGATTACAATTCTACCAGAGAAGGGGTAACGAGGAAAGGGATTTACATTTCTACCAGAGAAGGTGTAACGGAGAAGGGGATTACAATTATACCAGATAAGGGGTAACGGGGATTACAATTATATCAGAGAAGGGGTAACGGAGAAAGTGGATTACAATTCTACCACAGAAGGGGTAACGGAGAAAGTGGATTACAATTCTACCAGAGAAGGGGTAACGAGGAAAGGGAATTACAATTCTACCACAGAAGAGGTAACGGAGAAAGTGGATTACAATTCTACCACAGAAGGGGTAACGGAGACAGCGGATTACAATTCTACCAGAGAAGGGGTAACGAGGAAAGGGAATTACAATTCTACTAGAGAAGGGGTAACGGATAAAGTGGATTACAATTCTACCACAGAAGGGGTAACGGAAAAAGTGGATTACAATTCTACCAGAGAAGGGGTAACGAGGAAAGGGAATTACAATTCTACCACAGAAGAGGTAACGGAGAAAGGGGATTACAATTCTACCAGAGAAGGGGTAACGGAGAAAGTGGATTACAATTCTACTAGAGAAGGGGTAACGGAAAAAGGGGATTACAATTCTACCAGAGCCCTAAACACCGAAACATAACGCGGAGCTATGTTAAGCTTTATGTTATTTATTAGGTGTTATAGATTACGTGATATCTATATATATATCACGTGCTATAGATATAGATTACGTGATTTAGATATAGATTACGTGTTATGGATATAGATTACGCGTTATAGATATCGATTACGTGAGAAAGATTACGTGATATTGTGATGTACATTACGTGCTATAAATATAGATTGTTCGGTGTTTTTTTTTCCCGTTGTAAAACGGTTTCCTCCCAATGAACGCTGGACGGAGTTGCCGTGGCGACGTCATTTCGTGGCTAATGTCTGAGCCACCCATTCCCAATGTTGCGTCCCCCACAAAAAAAAAAGAGATTAAATCAAAGTCAGCCGAGGAACGCGCCTGGTCAATGTCACTGCTACAGGTACAGCGTGAGTCTGGTGGGGCCGACGCTCGACGCGGGTCGGAGCGGCGTGCCCGACTTAGCGACGGGTCCACGCGGTTCGAGTCGTTTAAAAAATGTGGAAGTCATTGTCCTCAAATCTAGAGCGGTCGCCGCGCCGAGTGAGCGCGACGTGGCGCTCGTCTGTTTGAAACAAAACAAAAAACTCAAAACAAAAAAAGTAAACGGTTGGAATTCCACATTCCCGTGGCAGAGGTGGGTTCACGGATCGGAATTCGTTGGACGTTCCACAATGTAGTACCTATTTTGTCGACTTTTGAAAGATGATGGGCTGAGTGAAATTCCCCCCCCCCCCACCCCCCACCATCCCCACACCCCCGGGGCCGCGATTTTAACTCGAAACCTTACGAAGGGAAAGGCAGCGGTCGCTCTAATCGAGGGCCTTTGATGTTGAACTCCTGTCCGTTGCCTGGCAACCTCTCGCTGACCTTTCCCCCCAGTGACCTTTAGGTGAGTGCGTGTGTGTGTGTGCGTGACTTGCATGGGTGAGCGAGCGATAGAGTGCGCGCAGGGGTGCGTGCCTGAGTGAAGCGAGCCTGTAAGAGCGCGCGCGTGTGTGTGTGTGTGCGCGTGCGGGACGGGGTGGAGCAACGGGTAAGCGCGCTGCGCTGCGAAGCCGGCGAGCCGAGTTCGATTCCCGCTCGTGGCCAACACCGCTGACGATTATCTGAACCGGTCCTGGCCCTCGCATAGGTCGACTCAGCCTCAAATGAGTACCCGGTGCAGTGTGTAAACATCGCCACTCGGGAGACAAAGGCGGCCGGGCGTGGTGCTGGCCACCCACCCCCCTCGGCCTTCACAGGTGCTCGCTAACAGCACTTGTCCCAACAGTCTGTTAAAGCTACACGGGGGATCTTTGTCTTAGCAGTGCTGCTCACGGTCAACACCAGTAACGACGAACTGGACAGGCGCTGGAACCCACGGGCGCGTGGAACCCATTGAGCCTCAGCGATGTCACGCAATCCGCGCCTCGTGTTCAGCCGCAGACGGAGCAGAACATTTAACTCGGCCGTGATTGGTGACCGCGGCACCAGTGAAGCGTTCCAGTTGTAGATTTGAAGCAATAAAAAGAACAACAATTCTTGAGACGTTAAGCACCGATGTGGGACCAGTGGCTCTCGCACTTGCGCTCCGACAACTCGGCAAACAAAACAAACACCCGAGTTCGATTCCTGGACACGGCTGGGCATCGTGATTCGAGGCTTCTCTCGCTGCACGCGGGTTCCTGGGCATTGTGCGGATTTCTCGCTATACACACGGCTCACCTACTTCTACGCAAAGTTCGCCCTCTTAGCGCGGTGTGAATTCGCTCAGCTGTGGCTGTGCGGACCACCAACACGCCGCTCGCCATCAACATCAGTGAGGCTTCTTTCGTAGTCGTAATAATAACAATAACAACATGTATTGTGTGAGCTTTATTGATGTCATCTTATTATCATTGCAGATGGACACAAATGCGCCTTCCAATTATCACTTCGCCTTTGAATTAACGGAATATCCGAGCAAGGTAAGCTGCATTCAGATGGTTTAAACGTATACGGGAAGTCCCCTATTTACGATGCTCCTATTTACGTTGCTTCCCTATAACGTTGTGTCCCTGAAACGTCACGTCACTACAATATTGTTTAACCATAACGTCATTTCACTATAACGTTGTTTAACTCTAACGTCGTTTCACCATACAGTCATTTCACTATAACGTTGTTTCACTCAAACTTCGTTTCACTATAATGTCATTTGACAATAACGTCGCTTAACTCTAACGTCGTTTCACGATAACGTCGTTTCACTTTAACATCGTTTCACTATAACGTTGTTTCACTATTACATCGTTTCACGATAACGTCGTTTCACTACAACGTCGTTTCACTCTGACGTCGTTTCACTATAACGTCGCCAACGAATTAGGTGGGCGGTGGTGCCATTTAATCTCTTGAACAGGGCCCATGCCAACCACGCCATGCCAGGGGTTAGAGCAAAGTGGATCGCAGTCGAAATGTCGCGGGTCAAAATTCCGGTTTGCGAGGTTGACTCAGCTCATCATCCCTTCCTACGGGCTGGATAAAACGACTACCACTCTGTGTGGAAGTTAACATGTGTTGTATGCATCTTGAACTTATTTCGCACCGCGTGCATAGCCAACCGTGATAATCGGAAATGCGGTCTAATCCATAGGACAAGCGCTGTTGTCCTATAGAACGGACTCAAGTCACCTCCTGCCCCACCGTCCCATAGGCTATTTCCACCGCTGGCTCTTGGCTGCAGATGATAAATGGGCACCAATGTGTGTACGTGACTCATCGGAGCAGGGGGGGGGAGGGAATAAATCACTCGTGGCTGACCGAAGCAAAACGTTATTTTCACGACGGCTTTGTGCGTGCACGCGCGAGGAACTTCCTTCGCGCCGTACCTACGTGGCCAACCGTGCTAATCGGCGGTGCTGTCCGTCCCACCGCCGCCGCGGCAGGCGTTGCCGAGCTCCCACGTTGCGAACGTCAGGCGAACGTCAGGCGAACGTCAGGCGAACATGACAACGTAAAAACGTGGAAGACGCGCCCCGACACCCAACTCGGGTCTCGACCAACTCTCGAGACCCGTGAGGAACTCCCCCGCCCCCCCAACCACTTCTTCCTCTCTTGGCAGCTCGTGGGCAAGTGCAAGGCGCACATCAGCTTCCCGAGGCTGCCCGGCAAGGCCATGCGGGCCGACCTCCTGGCCTGTGACTTCCCGCGGGGCGGCGACGCGGGGCCAATCCCCGTCAAAGACGACGACGCCGCCGGCGGCGGCATCTCGCTGAGAGACGCCCTGGAGAAGCTGGGGACTAAACCGCCGGCAGTCATCGGCTCGGTGTTCCCTGGTAAGGAGAGGGAGGAAATGAACGCAGAGGTCAATGGTCACCACCCCCCCGTGGGACAGGCTAGGCTAGTCGGGGCGAGTGCTTTAGCGAGGAGGCCGGCACACTGGCACACGAAGGGGGTAGAGCGTGGTCGGGCAGCACCGCGCCCGGCTGCCTTTGTCTCCCCCTCGTGCTGATGTTTTACGCACCGCAATAGCTACTCGTCTTAGGATGAGTCGACCTAGGGGAGGCCCAGGATCGGTTCAGATAGTCGCCACTGGTGTTGGTCGGGAGTGGGAATCGAACTCGCGTCGCCGGCTTCGTGGAAAAAGCACGCTAACCCGCTACACTACACACACACACGCATCCACACGTACACACACACACTCACAACGACAACAATAAAACATCCTATAACACAACACGCCAATATATGACACTGCCGGCTCGCAAATTGATTTTTTATTTTCACGAAAGCCCCCCCGCGGTCCCAAAACATAGATGGGAAGGGGAGCGGTTAATTTCCCACACGGGCTCGGCCATCGGCACCATGGGGTGCCCATGCCCCCCCCCCCCCCCCCACTGCCAATTCCCCCACCCAGCCACCACCCCCACACCCCCGTTTTCAGGTCACCAGTTTGAACATCACTGCTGCCCCCCCCCCCCATCCACCGCTCTCCGACATCAGCGCCAGCGGCTCCTCGCCCAGGAGAGATGATTTACAAGCCGCTCACGCGCGCACCGCTCCACGGCGGTGACGACGAGACTCCGTGGTGGCGCGTCCGACGCTTGCCGTTGTGGCTAGGAGATGTTGACTACCTCGCCTGGTATACAGGAGGTTGTGGGTTCGATCCCGACCCTAATGCCTGTTGTATATTTGAAGTTTGTATTTCTCTTTCTCTCTCTCATCATCATCACGGTGGCTAGGAGATGTTGACTACCTCGCCTGGTATACAGGAGGTTGTGGGTTCGATCCCGACCCTGATGCCTGTTGTATATTTGAAGTTTGTATTTCTCTTTCTCTCTCTCATCATCATCACGGTGGCTAGGAGATGTTGACTACCTCGCCTGGTATACAGGAGGTTGTGGGTTCGATCCCGACCCTGATGCCTGTTGTATATTTGAAGTTTGTATTTCTCTCTCTCTCATCATCACGGTGGCTAGGAGATGTTGACTACCTCGCCTGGTATACAGGAGGTTGTGGGTTCGATCCCGATCCTGACGCCTGTTGTATATTTGGGAGTCTGCGGTGTCTCTCTCAACGTGGCCGCGTGGATTTTTTCTCCGAGTCCTCCGGTTTGTCCCCTCCACATTTAGCATCGACGTCACGCGTTTAGAGTATTTGGCTGCTATGAATTCTCAAGTGATGAGTCACTTCGTTGAGCTATCGTTTGTGGCCAGATCGCTTCTGACAAAGAAGCACATAGCTCAGTGGGTCCTAACCTGGTCAAATAAAAATAGTTTTAGTTCAGAGGCTTTTGCGGCCAAAGCCTCTGGTTATTACCGCACAGTGTTGTGTTAGCCATGAAGGGTAATCAGAATATTTATTTATACTGGAAGAATCCGATGAGCTATGAAGCTCTTTTTCCACAGACGTCCAGTGGTCACAGATGTCCATAGTAGAGGTGCAGTCCTGCAATTGCGCAGCCCGTGCCACTGCTGTCAGAAGCCACCCACGCCCACCGCCCCCCCCCGTCCCGCCACCACCACCCGCCCCGTCTGGAACTCTGGTTAATAAACTCTCTGTGTCCGCCTCGCGTGCCCCAAAGACAGCTTTGGGAATGTCCTGAGCGTGCTGAAACCGTTCTGGAGGCTGGCGAAGATCGGAGGAAGCTTCGTGAACCTGGAGAGGGGGGACGTAAGCAGCAAAGTAACGCTGGCCCAAGTGCGCAGCGTCCGGCAAGTGGTGAGCTCACCGCATCCAACACTCGCCCACACACACACACACACGTGTGTAAACACTGTGAAGTTGAACATTCCTCCCGTGTAGCCTCAACAGACGTTTGGGGCAAGTGCTGTTAGCGAGGTACCTACAAGACAACGACGGATATCGCCCATATAGCCTTAACAGTGCTGTTACCAAGTAGCATCGGTGAAGGCCGGCACGGCACACGAGGGGGTGGGTGGCCAGCACCACGCTCCACACCGCACCAGGCGCTCATTTGAGATTACTTGCACACACACACAGACATGCTAAAGCTGCCACAGATCTGGGAGGTTCAACGGGGACACAAGGTGACTGACTGCTCCCTCCCTCCCCATTAGATTCGCCCACTTCCACCACGAGCCCCGCCCACTCCCCCACTAGCCCCGCCCACTCCACCACCAGCTCTGCCCACTCAACCACTAGCCCCGCCCACTCCACCACCAGCCCCGCCCACTCCACCACCAGCCCCGCCCATTCCACCACTAGCCCCGCCCCACTCCACTACCAGCACTGCCCACTCCACAACTAGCCCTGCCCACTCCGCAACGAGAATTTTTATTGTTTTATATATATTTTATTATTTTATTGTTTCCCTTCAACATGACTTTACCGAAAGAGCTAAGAATATGAGCCTCAAATTTTGATTTAAAGCTTTCGTGACTGCAGTAATTCATATTCTTAGTTTTTTCGGTGAAGTCACGTTGAAGAGAAACAACAAAATAATAAAATATATATAAAACAATAAAAATTCTCACGACGTTTCGACCATAACTCAAACGGTCATCTTCAGGTGTGTTGGTTTGCATAAATTTATTTTTAAACGGCGCATTTATTTAATTATAAAAAACGTTGGCGTCACGCGCAGCGATTTGGCAGTTTGCCCAGGACTAGTCCATCTATTTTTTTTTGAAAAGAGGAGGGGGGAGACGAATTTTTTTATAATGTATGCTGTCTGAAAGCCACTGTAAGCGTGAACAATCAATTAAGAACTGAAATGGTTTATCAAATCTTTCCAATGATTGCTAAGATAGAATCCATCTTCTCGGTTGAAATTGTCTCTGTGCTTGTATATGTGGATAGCCTCATGAACGAATCTCTCATGGAAGCCAGATGGCTTACAAAGAACCTCCGTCTTGGAAAAGTCAATGGCATGTGAGCCTACTGAATTAGAACAATGATCTGCTACGGCCGAGGTGTTGGTCCTACCGTGTTTAAGGTCTGCTTTATGTTCACGAATGCGGTCCGAGACATGGCGTTTGGTTTCTCCAATGTAACTACTACCACAGAGGCAACTTAGTTTGTAGACACCAGGGTATTGTATGTCCGGAATCACATCTTTTACAGACGGAACCAGATCACGGATTTTATGTAATGTGTTGAAACGGACCTGGATCTTGTGTTTATTCAAGATTTTGGAGATCTTTTTTGTGATCCCAGCAATGTAGGGTAAAGTGATGGTTTTGAAAGGCTCCTCAAGAGGGTTCTTCTTCATGGTTTGAGTGATAGCTTTGCGGATTGTATAGTCGGAGTAACCATAGCCCCGACTATACAATCCGCAAAGCTATCACTCAAACCATGAAGAAGAACCCTCTTGAGGAGCCTTTCAAAACCATCACTTTACCCTACATTGCTGGGATCACAAAAAAGATCTCCAAAATCTTGAATAAACACAAGATCCAGGTCCGTTTCAACACATTACATAAAATCCGTGATCTGGTTCTGTCTGTAAAAGATGTGATTCCGGACATACAATACCCTGGTGTCTACAAACTAAGTTGCCTCTGTGGTAGTAGTTACATTGGAGAAACCAAACGCCATGTCTCGGACCGCATTCGTGAACATAAAGCAGACCTTAAACACGGTAGGACCAACACCTCGGCCGTAGCAGATCATTGTTCTAATTCAGTAGGCTCACATGCCATTGACTTTTCCAAGACGGAGGTTCTTTGTAAGCCATCTGGCTTCCATGAGAGATTCGTTCATGAGGCTATCCACATATACAAGCACAGAGACAATTTCAACCGAGAAGATGGATTCTATCTTAGCAATCATTGGAAAGATTTGATAAACCATTTCAGTTCTTAATTGATTGTTCACGCTTACAGTGGCTTTCAGACAGCATACATTATAAAAAAATTCGTCTCCCCCCTCCTCTTTTAAAAAAAAAATAGATGGACTAGTCCTGGGCAAACTGCCAAATCGCTGCGCGTGACGCCAACGTTTTTTATAATTAAATAAATGCGCCGTTTAAAAAATAAATTTATGCAAACCAACACACCTGAAGATGACCGTTTGAGTTATGGTCGAAACGTCGTGAGAATTTTTATTGTTTTATATATATTATTATTTTGTTGTTTCTCTTCAACGTGACTTTACCGAAAAAACTAAGAATATGAGCCTCGTCCACTCCACCATTAGCCCCGCCCACCTACCACTAGCCACGCCCACCCCACCAACAGCCCCGCCCGCTCAATAACTAGCCCCGTTCACTTCACCCACAGCCCCGCCCACTCCACAGCTAGCCCCGCCCATTCCACCACTAACCCTGCCCACTCCACCACTAACACCGCCCACACAGGGAGCGGCTTCATCGTCGGTCTTCAGATATTGGCTCCGCCTACTGTTCATAGGCCTTGCCTACTCTGCCGACCCCGCCCACCATGAAGAGACAAAGACACGAATCGGACACGACACACCCAAACACAACAATAGCCTTCCACCACTCAGTTGCGGTGACGTCATCACGGCGCTGGTGCCAAGCTTGGTGCACCTTGAGGTCACGCTGACAAGTCACGAAACAGACTCAGCTGCCATGGTTAGACTGACTTAAGATTACCGGCAGATGCACCACCCGTGCTCTCCACCGTGCTCCCCACCGTGCCACCCACCGTGCCACCCAACATAATCCTCACCGTGCCACCCACCATGCCACCCACCATGCCACCCACCGTGCCACCCACCGTGTCACCCACCGTGGTCCCTATGCCACCCACCGTGCTCCCCACTGTGCCACCCACCGTGCCACCCACCGTGCTACCCACCGTGGTCCCAGCCATGCCACCCACCGTGCCACCTACCATGCCACTCGCCGTGCCACCTACCGTGCTACCCACTGTGTGGTGTAGCGGAGCTATTGTGTTGATGCCATTCCGCTCGCTCCGTTTCTCCGCAGCCCGAGAGTGACCCCGAGAGTGACCCCGAGAGTGACCCCCAGGGTGACCCCAAGGGTGACCCCAAGGGTGACCCCAAGGGGCTGCAGTTCCAATTCATTGCCCTGATGCACGAGCTCCCATCGCAGGTGAGGACCCCAGCCACGGCTGCAGACAAAGATCCCCGTATAGCCTCACCAGACTGTTGGGGCAAGTGCTGTTCACGGAGCACCTATTATTCATTTTACTTTGTATTTATTTATATTTATCAGGTAAGGCCCACTAAGCTACTGTATAGCTCTTTTTCAAAATCGACCTGGCTATCGCAAAATGATAGCTCAACAGAGTGGCTTATCACGTGTGGGAATTTACAGTAGCAGGCAAATCATCTAATCGCGTGATGTTGATTCTCAACTTGGAGAGAAAAACCGGAGGACCCCGAGGAAAAATCCACGCGACCACGGGGAGAAAAACACGCAAACTCCAAATATACAGCAGCAGGCGTCACGGTTGGAATCGAACCCACGACCTCCTGTATACCAGGCGAGGTAGTTAACATCTCATAGCCACCGTGATGATGATAAGAGAGAGAGAGGCACACACACACAACTCCAAAAATATACAGCAGCAGGCGTCAGGGTCGGGATCGATCCCACGACCTCCTGTAGACCAGGCGAGGTAGTCAACAACTCGCATCTCTTCCAGGGCGTCCGTCCAACGTGGAAGAGTAGGCCAAAATTACCCTCCCACAAGGGGAGGTATTATATCCCCGCCAGCAGTTGCTGTACCCGAGCTATTGCAGGGATGCGCCTGTAACGGGGTACGGACTTTCAGGACGGAGCCGTCGCCACGTCGCTGTCGACGTGCAGCCGACGGAACGATCCGCGTGTGAATCACATTCGTGATGGTCCAGGTCGCTTCTGAACAAGAGCTACTGTAGACTGCTCAGCGGGGCCTTTGCTGGTAAAATGATACAAGTTAAAATGAAGAAAAATGTTGAATAAAAGAAAATATGACAAATAGTTGAGATAGTGCGTCGCCGCTATCGACGGCGTCTAGGGCGGAAGGGCCGCTCTGTCTCTTTTACGTCACGAATGCGTCTTCATCATTAACTTCGTCTTCGTCTTCATCATCGTCTTCATCTTCATCATCATCTTCGTCTTCATCATCATCGTCTTCATCTTCGTCTTCATCTTCGTCTTCATCTTCATCATTATCTTCGTCTTCATCATCATCATCTTCGTCTTCATCGTCACCTTCGTCTTCATCATCATCTTCGTCTTCATCATCATCTTTGTCGTCATCCCTCTGCTGACGACATGAGCGACGCTCTCAGATCGAGCAAAGGGGTGGACTGGAAGCCGTCCAGCCGAGTATGGGCGCTCATTACGTGGCGTAATTAAAGAATTAAACAATGAAGATGGGGGCTTTTTTTTAATCGCGAAACGTTTTATCGCTTTCCACCGTTTTGTCCTCGGATGAAGAGGAGAGCAATTGGCGATGCTTTTAGATGTTTTAGATTAAAAAAAAAATCCCTCTTCAAAAAAGATGAACAATAATCAGCAAAAAAAAACTAATTGGAGATGAATTCAAAGCGACCACACTTTTTGACGATGGTGATGTTGCAGGAAATCATCACGTGCTCAATGCTGATTGGCTGGCGCGAAGGGCAGAAGGTCGCCGTGCGGTTCAACTGCTCCGAGCCGGCGTGCCTCGCTCCGGCCCCGGAGGACGGCTCCGGATCCGGGCAGGGCTAGCGGCTGGGCCATCGCGACAACTGCGAAGGAGCTCGCTCACTCACCCCCTCACCACTCACTCGCTCACTCACCCCCTCACCACTCACTCGCTCACTCACCCCCTCACCACTCACTCGCTCACTCACCCCCTCACCACTCACTCGCTCACTCACCCCCTCACCACTCACTCGCTCACTCACCCCCTCACCACTCACTCGCTCCCTCACCCCCTCACCACTCGTTCGCTCACTCATCCCCTCACCACTCACTCGCTCACTCACCCCCTCACCACTCACTCGCTCACTCACCCCTCACCACTCACTCGCTCACTCACCCCCTCACCACTCACTCGCTCGCTCACCCCCTCACCACTCACTCGCTCACTCACCCCCTCACTACTCACTCGCTCACTCACCCCCTTCACCATTCACTCGCTCACTCACCCCTCACCACTCACTCGCTCACTCACCCCCTCACCACTCACTCGCTCACTCATCCCCTCACCACTCGCTCGATCACCCCCTCACCACTCACTCGCTCGCTCACCCCCTCACCACTCACTCGCTCATTCACCCCCTCGCTCACCCCCTCGCTCACCCCCTCGCTCACTCACCCCCTCGCTCACTCGCTCACTCACCCCCTCATAACTCACTCGCTCGCTCACCCCCTCACCACTCACTCGCTCGCTCACCCCCTCACCACTCACTCGCTCACTCACCCCCTCACCACTCACTCGCTCATTCACCCCCTCACCACTCATTTGCTCACTCACCCCCTCACCACTCACTCGCTCACTCATCCCCTCACCACTCACTCGCTCACCCCCTCACCACTCACTCGCTCGCTCGCCCCCTCACCACTCACTCGCTCACTCACCCCCTGACTACTCACTCGCTCACTCACCCTCTCACCACTCACTCGCTCACTCATCCCCTCACCACTCGCTCGATCACCCCCTCACCACTCACTCGCTCGCTCACCCCCTCACCACTCACTCGCTCACTCATCCCCTCACCACTCACTCGCTCGCTCACCCCCTCACCACTCACTCGCTCACTCACCCCCTCACCACTCATTTGCTCACTCACCCCTTCACCACTCACTCGCTCACTCATCCCCTCACCACTCACTCGCTCACCCCCTCACCACTCACTCGCTCACTCATCCCCTCAACACTCACTCGCTCACTCACCCCCTCACCACTCACTCGCTCACTCACCCCCTCACCACTCACTCGCTCACTCACCCCTTCACCACTCACTCGCTCACTCACCCTCTCACCACTCACTCGCTCACTCATCCCCTCACCACTCACTCGCTCGCTCGCCCCCTCACCACTCACTCGCTCACTCACCCCCTGACTACTCACTCGCTCACTCACACCCCTCACCACTCACTCGCTCACTCACCCCCTCACCACTCACTCGCTCACTCACCCCCTCACCACTCACTCGCTCACTCACCCCCTCACCACTCACTCGCTCGCTCACCCCCTCACCACTCAATCGCTCATTCACCCCCTCGCTCACCCCCTCGCTCACCCCCTCGCTCACTCACCCCCTCGCTCACTCACCCCCTCACCACTCACTCGCTCACTCACCCCCTCACCAATCACTCGCTCACTCACCCCCTCACCACTCACTCGCTCACTCACCCCCTCACCACTCACTCGCTCACTCACCCCCTCACCACTCACTCGCTCGCTCATCCCCTCACTACTCACTCGCTCACTCACCCCTCACCACTCACTCGCTCGCTCAGCCCCTCACCACTCACTCGCTCACTCAGCCCCTCACCACTCACTCGCTCGCTCACCCCCTCACCACTCACTCGCTCACTCACCCCCTCACCACTCACTCGCTCACTCACCCCCTCACCACTCACTCGCTCACTCACCCCCTCACCACTCACTCGCTCACTCACCCCCTCACCACTCACTCGCTCACTCACCCCCTCACCACTCACTCGCTCACTCATCCCCTCACCACTCACTCGCTCGCTCACCCCCTCACCACTCACTCGCTCACTCAGCCCCTCACCACTCACTCGCTCGCTCACCCCCTCACCACTCACTCGCTCACTCACCCCCTCACCAGTCACTCGCTCGCTCACCCCCTCACCACTCACTCGCTCACTCACCCCCTCACCACTCACTCGCTCACTCACCCCCTCACCACTCACTCGCTCACTCACCCCCTCACCACTCACTCGCTCGCTCATCCCCTCACCACTCACTCGCTCGCTCACCCCCTCACCACTCACTCGCTCGCTCACCCCCTCACCGCTCACTCGCTCGCTCACCCCCTCACCACTCACTCGCTCACTCATCCCCTCACCACTCACTCGCTCACTCACCCCCTCACCACTCACTCGCTCACTCATCTCCTCACCACTCACTCGCTCGCTCACCCCCTCACCACTCACTCGCTCACTCACCCCCTCACCACTCACTCGCTCACTCACCCCCTCACCACTCGTTCGCTCACTCATCCCCTCACCACTCACTCCCTCGCTCACCCCCTCACCACTCACTCGCTCACTCACCCCCTCACCACTCACTCGCTCACTCACCCCTCACTCGCTCGCTCGCTCGCCCCCTCGCTCGCTCGCTCACTCACCCCCTCACCACTCACTCGCTCACTCACCCCCTCACCACTCACTCGGTCACTCACCCCCTCACCACTCACTCGTTCGCTCACCCCTCGCTCACTCGCTTGCTCGCTCACCCCTCGCTCACTCGCTCGCTCACCCCCTCACCACTTGCTCGCTCCCTCACCCCCTCGCTCACTCGCTCGCTCTCTCTCTCTTACTCGATCGCTCGCTCACTTGCTCACGCGCTTGCTCACTTACACAGAATTACAAGCGGAGCCTTGCCATTGTTGCATACATTCTGCGCCGTCATATATTCGCCTGATTTTTTTGTATGAGCGCTTTCCATTTAACATTGAACACTTTGTGCGTACGTATGCCGAATTTCTTTCGCACCGTACGTAGCCAACCGTGTCAATCGGAGGCGCGTTCATGCCTTGGCTCCGTCCACGTGGGTCTTCCTGTAACAGGGGGGGTCACGATAACTCTCGTAACGCTGATTGAATACGAACGAAACATTTACCACGTGGCCGCTTGGCTGTTGAGGGCTCACCCGTGAGATGTCCGGCCAAATGCATCGAAGGGTCGCCCAGAACTTGCCTGAATAAAAACCCAGCGCTTAAAATTTAAATAATTTTGCTATTTTCTGACCGGTGTGGGGGGGTGGACGGCATGGGGGACATCATCACGTGACGATACAGGCCACGTGCGACGGCTTAGAAACTCCGGCGTGGCTCAACACGAATTTAAAAGAGTTTCAGAATCTATTTAGTGCCGTCACACACGCACAAGTCTGCGTTAGGCCTTGTGATTTCGTCTCGGGTTGTTTGCCTGACGCGTGGCATATTTAAATGCGTCCACAGGATTAGATTGTCCGAAGATTTGAGCTCAGTTCTTCTGCTTTATCCGAGCTCTGCCTTCGAATGCGTCTCCCGAATACAAAACAACGCGGAACGCATGCCCAATCAAACACACTCGACGTTTCGGGCAAGGCTTCTTCTTCAACCAACTTTGTGTAACACGTAGTGGGCTGTCGCGACCAATATTATCTATAATAGAGGGGGGGGGGGGGGGGGGTTGGTTGGTTGAGGTCACGTGAATGTACATGTCTCGTTCAACCCGCCACCACCCAACACAGCCAATTAGTAAGGTTTGTCACGTGAAAAAACGTGTCACACCGGTGTGTTGGAGACTAATTTCCGCTACAACATTTACAATTCAGAGGCAACTCTGGCCGTCGCCTGATGATGGTGGTTGATGTAATTACCGGCGAAACGTCGTACTTGGATCGTAAATGTTGTGGCTTTACTCTCCAACACACAACCGGTTAGTGCTGACCTAGTAACGAATTGGCAACGTTTTGATTGCGTGACAAACCTTACTGATTGGCTGTGTTGGGTGGTGGCGGCGGGTTTTATCGACGCATTTATATTTACGTGATCTAACCCAAAACACAACAAAGTCACCCTCCGTCATTCAAAGAACTCTGTTCAATAACAGACAAACCAAAAAATCGGTTACAAATTCGGCCGCACAGGAGTGGGGGACTTCCCAACTTTCAAAGTATCCGCTTCAGGATGTCGCCGTGTCCCGCTACACAAAACACACACACTCTCACCTTGTCCTTTGCTTTAACATCGTGGTGGGGAGGGTGGATGGCTGCGCAAATCCTCCTCTCTATCTTTCTCTTTTCGCAGCTCCGTTTCATTTCGGCGCGTCTCGCTCGTGAACAAAATGCGGCTCTCGCAGGAGCCCCTCGCTCATCGATTAAAGAGTCGGCGGCGTGCGGGAAGGGCGAGACAAATAGAGGAGGAGGAGGGAGGAGGGGGTGGGGGGATGAGATTGGAGGAAGAGGAAGACGAGGTGAGGGAGGGAGAGGAGGATTATGAGGAGGGTGAGAGAGAGGGAGAGAGACGTCTACCAGGGCGTTGTAATGAGGAGAGGGCAGAAAGACTACAACCTGACCGGCTTCCCGGTCGACACGTCCCTGTCCACACTGGCCACGCGTCCTGGCAGATGTCGGGATACCCACAGTTTAACCCACCACGCGCGAACCTGCCGGTCGACCATCAGAGTCGGAACCTTTATTTGTGCTACAGGAGGAATCCTATGAGCTATAAAGCTCTTTTCGTCGCAGTTGTCCAGCACGGAGCACGGGGTCAGAACGTTACAGCAACAACACCGAAAACAATAATTAAGGATCACATTTTTTTTCCAATTGCATCTCGTATACCCAATTCTGTCAACGCTTATTTTTGTTATAAGTGCATAACCAATATGGCGTGCATCGAGTTCATGCAGCCTCGCCGTGACTCCAGCGTTCTTCATCAGATCCCCGCATTCGTCCGATGCGCGCCTCTGCCGCGATCAGAGATTTTGTCGTGCCATCGATAGCCATCGATCGTTATCAATAATTATCGATCGCTATCAATCGCCATCGATCGTTATCGATCGATAACGATCGTGATCCATCGTGACTTACCTCCTCGGAGGTGAGTTCGTTGAGCACACGCGGGTTGCTCGGAGGGCGAGGATCGTTCCCAATGCTCGGCGCGCTAGAGG